AGGGGTGGGGTGGTGGGCAGGGCTGTGGTAGGAAGCCGGAAGCAGCCGCGGCTCCAGCTCGGGAGACATGGCGGGCATTAAAGGTACATCTGCGGCCCCTGGCTCGATGGTCCTGCGGTGGAGTCGCCTCCTCCGCTCCAGGCTAAGCTCGGAGCTGCGCTTTCAGTGCGTCGGCGGAGAGGGCCTCCCCCAGACTCGCCATGCTTCCCACCTCTCTGGGTGGGAATGCGCTCTCTCGCTCCCTTTGCTCCTTGGGGTGTGGGTGGAGGGATGCTTGGGAACCCCCCTTTTTTTCTGCAAGGCCACTAGCCTTCCCGCTCTCCTTGCACTACGGGCAACTCCAGGCTGGAGCCCTCGCGGAGATCGGTCCCTGCCTGGGACACCCGGTCCCGCCACCCGAGCATCACCTCCTGGGCTCCTCCTCAATTAAGCTCAATTCCTCCGAGCTTCCTCCCACCCCTACTTTTGCCGAGTTTTTAACGGGGTTTCCACTTCCTGACATGTCCACCCTAACGCCTTTTTTTTTTCCCTGCCGCTCGCAGTTTCCCATTTCCTTCCAAAGGAGCCATTGTCTTCAGTGTTCTCGGCTTTGGGCCCTTAATCCTCTTGTTCCTAATGATTTTTCCAGTTGGGCAGACTTCACTGCAGGCAGGTGTCAACGGATGGCGCCCAGAAATGCTGTATTTGTCGTAATTGTGCAGGGTAGATTAGGTGGAATTAGTACTTTCATCTATGGACAGACGAGAGCGTGGTGTTTGTGCAGTATGTATTTTTGAATCGTGCAGTTGATAAAAAGGGAGTGTTCCAAGAACACTTCCCTTATCTGTATGCCTTGCAGAGGAGAGGAGATGGTAGCAGTGAGAGAGGTAATTGGAAGACTTCCTGTTATTTTTGGGAGGAAACCATTAGATTTTTAATCTTTTTGGAAAGAGTAGCATAACTTGTTTCTATGTTGGAGTTCCTTCTCGTCTTTGAAGTTTGTACCCAAAAAATCTTACCTCCCTAGTTAACCTATAAAGATGTATACAGTATATTTGCATGCATACATGTGTTCACTATGAAATTTATCTGAGTGCGTAAGCTGTTAGCAGCAGACACATCATTTTTTTCTGGCTGACTTTTATATTCAACATTAAATATAATTTACTTGGACAGTGTCCAGTGTGTAATACAGCCATTTGAAACCAATGCAGAAAACAGCTGAGAAGTAGTAGCTCAGTGTTACACTGTGTTTAGTTATGCCCAGAAACTATCAAATAATAATGTTTATGTGTAAATATGTTAGAAATTGTGATGTAGTAAAACAGAAGATAGGCTATGAAGTGGAAATAGACTAATGGAAGGACGCATTTTGTAGATAATTCAGTTCAACCTTTATTGAGAGACTACTGTATGTCAAAGATTTGAAACAAACAGGTAAATGAGAAGTTACTGTTGGGTAACAGAGTTGGAAATAATTACTATTTAAGTGTCTAAGATGTACTCAGATACAGTGAAAACACAAGGATGGTGTGGGTTGAATTGTGTCCCCCAAATAGAGATAAGTTCTAACTCCTCACTACCTGTCAGTGTGACTTTATCTGGAAATAGGACCTTTGCAAGATGGAATCAAGTTAAGATGATATTGGATTAGCATGTGCTCTATCCTATAAGGACTAGTGTCCTTATAAGAAAAGGGAAATTTGAACATGGAGATATATAAGGAGAATATATGAAAACAGAGGAAGAAAGTAGAGTAATGCAGCTGTAAGCCAAGGAGTATCAAAGATTGCCAGCCAGCAACCACCAGGAGTTAGGAAGAACCAAGGAAGGATTTTTTTCTCAGAGGCTACAGAGGGAGCATGGCCCTGCTGACACCTTGATTTCAGACATCAAACCACCAGAACTGTGAGAAAATAAATTTCTGTTGTCCTAAGCCACCGAGTTGGTGGTACTTAGTTAATAGCAGCTCTGGTATTAACTAATATAACTAATACAGATGGAATCACTTAACCCTGCTCCAGGAAGGAAGAAGGCAATTTCTGCACAAAAGGCAATCCTTGAATAGAAGCTAAAAAGATCAATAAAACTTCATCTGGCAAAGGATGGGGCAGAGTTTAATTCAAGTGCTGAGAAGAGTATGTGGTATTTCAAGTTAGAACCTTAAAAAGGAAGAAGTGTGTGTTTGAGAGTAGAGGGTGAGCATATTTCAGTTTTTATATGTTGAATTTGATGTCCTTGTTGGCTGCTCAGGTGAAGTCCAGATTGGAGTTGGAGGTGAAGCATTGACGTAGCTGAGCCCATGTGGTACCAGGGAGCTTTGGAATGAATGCAGTGTTTCAGCAAGAGTATAGAGTAAAAAGCGACGAAGTTGGATGCCTGGTCAGCTCCAGCTTTAAGACATGGTAGAGGATGCGATTCCTGAAAAAGAAAAAAAAGGACTAAATGAATCAATGTGAGGTACAGTTGTGAACCTTGAGAGATTGGTGTCACAGACCAGAAGGAAGAGGTCTACAGTTCCTAGCTTTGAAAGGTGTCATGGAGGAGGGAATAGTGCAAATACACGATGCGGGGGGCGTGGGGCACTAAGCCAACTAGGAAGAGACCTTCTGCAATGAAAAAAATACATGAAGACTTACTTTTGAACATTTTTTTTTTGAAGTGACATATACTCAATGGAAAAACATAAATTAAAATTGACAGTCCTTCCTTGACCCCTAATATCTGCAAACTTCCAAATGTTTTTAAAAATACCTTGGCATCTTTTTATAAACAGTCCCCCCAGTTCTCCTCTTAATGTAAAAGGAAGCAATCAAAATGCTAATTAGTTTAATCAATGACTAATTTTGAGTGTTATGGATTTTTTTCAGAAGGAAATTTGGATAATATAGTGTCTTATGCTTCTGATATATACCTTTCCCAAAGAACATTGTTAAAATGAGCAGATATCTACATCAATCAACATTTACTTATTGAGCCTCTCCTGTGCTTTTCCTATGACAAGCACTTTACATAAATTATCACATTTAATTCCCATAAACTCCCTAATAAGGTGGCACCATTATTCCCATTTTATAGGTGAAAAATCAGATTTAAAGAGGCTCAGCTTCAACCTAAGGTCACACAATCTGTTCATGGCAGAGAAGGTTTGAACCCGTGTTGGTGAGTCAGAGATCAAATTTTTAAACAACTCTGATATTCTGTCTTTCACTTAGCAGCGTAAGGACAGATATGTTCCTGTCTCTTCAGAGGTTCATGTCCTCCAGATGCTGGGAATAAATATTTTATTCAGTAGTTGAGAATCATTTTCTATGCAGACATGAAGACAATCTGTGAATACTTGTAGTACTGTGGTTTGGGGTGGCAAAAATGGTCAAAGGGTATATATTATAGGGAAGCAGTTTTGCATGTAATTTAAGGAAAGAGTTTTCAACATTTAGAAACTGTTAGAATGAAATGACCTGCCTTAGGTGGTTATGAGTTTCCTTCACTGGAGTTGTACAGACTGGCTGGCTGGCGTCTTGTGACACATATAGAGGGAATTCATACATTAGATAGATGTTGTGTGCTGGAGATGCTTTATACCTTTCTCTACCTACAAATTTAAAAGTGGTAAACATAGGCAGTAATTTGCTAGTCAAATATAACATCAACTAATGAAATAAGTAAGTTGCTATATTTGCTTAAATTGGGGATCTTTTATTGTTTTTTAATTGAAGTTTTTTATTGGGATAAGATTCTCATATTATAAAATTAACTTTTTGAAGTATTAAAGTCTTTCCCTGTGTTTTTTAGTATATTCACAGGTGTGCAACCATCACTACTAGCTAACTCCAGAACATTTCATTACCTCCAAGGGAAATTCTATACCTATTAGTAGTCACTCTCAATTCCTCCCCTCCTCCCCCAGCCCCTGGTAACCATGGATCTGGAACCTATAACTCTTGGTTTTATTTTTCATAGCTCTTGTGTTATTATCCTTCAGCGGAGCTATTGGACTGACTTTTCTTATGCTGGGATGTGCCTTAGAGGATTATGGGTAAGTTATTTTTTCAAAAACTATTCTTTTTGTGCCTTTGTCACTATTGTGTGTCATGGGTGTTAGAGAGATTGGTAAATTTAAGACCAATCTCTAACCAATTAGTTAGTGAAGCCCAAATTATGAACCCACTGCCTTCATTATTTAGCTGTACTTGTGCTGAGAAAAGCTCTTTTTAAAATTGATGTATTCATTTAATAAACATTTAATGAACACCTATTCTGAATCAGCTGGGGATACAAGAATGAAGAGACATAGTGCTGTCCTCAAGGAGCTTACAGTTTTAAATGAGTGAGAGATAAACAATTCAGTTAGTAAAACGACAGCTGTAGTGAAGATGTGTGCAAAGTACAGTGAGAGCTTGGAGAAAGTGCATCGGAGTTTCCCCAGGAGAGTTGGGGAGAGCTGCATTGAAGTTGTCTTTAAGCCAAGATTTGGTGGATAAATAAGAGTTTATCAGGCTGATGAGTCAGTGGTGAGCATTTCAGGTAGAGGGAGCATTCAACAAATTTCTTTGTTCAACAACTGGTCGAGTGCTTACTGTGTGCCAGCTACTGTTAATGGAACTGGGGATTATGAAATAAGAAAAGAAAGGTCCTCTATGGCCATGCTACCCTGAATGTGCCTGATCTCGTCTGATGTCGGAAGCTAAGCAGGGTCAGGCCTGGTTAGTACTTGGATGGGAGACCACCTAGAAATACCAGGTGCTGTAGGTGTTAAAATGAAACAAAACAAAACAAAAAAACTCATTAAAAAAGAAAGGCCCTGCTTTCTTGCAGTCCATATTTTAGTGGGGGAGACAGACAGTAAACGTTTTAAAATATACATTCTATCAGAGATAGAAGTGTTGTGAAGAATAAAGGGTGAAGGGCACAAGGGCTTTAGGAAGGATAGTTGTTGAAACAGTGGACCGTTGGAGATGGGGCAGTACTGTAACTGGGATATGAGTTGAGGCTGAATTTTCTCAAAAGGGAAGGGCAAGTAAATGGAATGTAGTCAGGTCTTATGAAAAACACTCTGGATCATTTGTATCCTGTGAACTATCGTGATACAAGTTGTGTCATCTGTCTCATTTTTCTGTATTTTGCATCTAGTATAACATTTATATAGGCATAAAAAGAGTATTCACAGTTATTCTTATACATCCTCAGTAATCATAAACAGTTGGACTATATAGAAAAACCCAGAGAACAAGTATAACTATTATTTTGACTAATATCATTAGCAGTCAAAGACATTCAAAACAAATTGGTTTCTGAAGTCAACATCAATTTGTAGGTATACAGGCCTTGTCAGTGTCTTGGAATAGCTGTCTACCTCTGATGTCAGCGGCTTCTCATCCTAGATGAGTTTTTGATATCTATAATAGGTAGAGGCAGGTGTCGTAGACAGAGTAGATGGCCGTTCGTGGCTAGAGGCTGATAAGGTCCCTTCCAGTGAGGTTGGAGAGTGCCTTTTATTTAATGTCCTTTCCAACAAACAAAATCTCAAGGTGGTAGTTAATGATTCTTAAAGTCTTCATCTCCTGGTTGCTCCCTGTGAAAGGAAGCAGTTACCTATTTGGCATTTTCTTGAAGTGACTTTATCAAACCTTGGTAATAGTGTAAGATGTCACCTTTCAATCATGTCAGCTCGTAAGTTCCTTCATCTAATTGAAGTCCAGCTTAAATGTACTAGGATGCATGAAGGAATGTAAATACTGAAAGAATGGAGTTTGCCAGGGAGCCTGGAAGGACCACGCTGCCGTCTTGGGTTTCCCATAGCTCCAAGTATTCGTTTAATTTACAATCATTGTTTCCAACATAGTAGAAGTCTTTCATTACTTATTTTACAATGCTTCCCAGGAAATTTAACATAAAAAAACCAAGCTCGATTAGTTTAAAATTTCTCTTATAAGGAGAGACTACAGATCTTGAGATGTTCCAGGGGCCCTTCTGGAACATCAAAGTTATTCCTACATATATTGAGATTGTAACTCTTAAAATCTTAATTTCTAATGAAAACTAGAAAGTCACATTCATGAAGACGTTTTGTAAGCTCTAGAAACATTTCATAGCCATCAAAGTTAATCATTAACATAGACTTATTTTTGTAAAACTCTGGGTGTAAAATATTATATTTAATATCAATAACTCAAAAGACATATCTGTTCTACTTAAACCAACAAACTTAAACTAGCTTTTATTTAAGAATTAATCTTAGATCATGTGAACTTAAAAAGCATTTGAGTTAGTTTCTATATTTCTGAGAATTTTAGAATAGCTGGTCCTTACAAGTGCTTGCCTTTAAATTTATTTTAATAATACCATATGGAGGCAGAAAATTATCTCATATTTACAACATATGTATATAAGCACACATAGACAGATAAATGCAAAGACAGACCTTTTGGCCATGAGAAAAACTCTGTTGTTTATAAAAACAGTTGGATCCAAATTTTGTTTTATATTATAATTGGCATTTATAATTTATATTGTTGATATAGAAAATATCCAAACCTTAGAGAATTTTTATAAGTTTATTCGAACCAAAAGTTGCTGGGAAACAGGATTTCGAGTGTTCTGGAGAATGACAGTTTTGCAGTTTCTTTTATGCATTTGAAATTAGGAGGGAATATAAGGAAGATTACATGAAGGTGGGAGAAAGCAAGGCACAATTAACAAGACTGTGTGCTCCCTTGAGGGTGATTATGCCTTCAAGGGGTCTGGAAAAGAGGATCACTCTGGCATTTCAAAGGTGTGCTAACCTAGGTACACTAGAACAGGGGACAGGACTGGCTTAAAACCTTTCACTGAAGAAGTTATAGGCCTGAGGTGTGAATTTATGATCAGATCATCCTGTGAGGTTATTTTCAGTCACTGAATTTGTACATACTCCTCCCCGCCCACCCCACAATAGCTTACTGTGAATGGGAATATAGTTTCCTAGATTTTCTTCAGAAAACTTAACTGTATTCTAGGAAGAATTAAGAGCTCTTGGCTGTGGGATGTCAGGTAACAGCTGGGTCTATTCCAGACCTCTTTTCCAATCTGTATCTGTTTTCTCACTGGTACAATGAAGGCTTTGAACTAGAGAATCTCTAAAAGCCCCTTCCAACAATATTGTTTTGTGATTCTTGAAATACATTGTAATTCCTCTAGTTTGCAATTAGGAGTCCAAACTCAGTGTTTGCATCCTGAGTCTCTTGAAAAGGGCACTTTTCTTTTTTGCTTTTTGGTTGACCATCCCACCTTCCTAGATCTGTGGCCAAAATGAAAGGCTTTCATTACGGTGTGGCTTCACTCCAACTACTGCTCTAAGGTGCTCGCTATCTGGATGGCTCTGTGTTAATCAAGGCATTGTGGTGATAATGTATTATTATGATGTGTATATATAAATGATTAGAGACTATGCCCTTTCCCCCTCTCAGGGAAACATAATAAATGTCTAGCTTATGGAGAAAAATATTTTCGAAGTGTTTGTAGAAGAAATGTAGGAAATGGAAAGCAGATGGCAATTTTTAATAAATACGAAACATTGAAATTTGAGAAGAAAGCTTTTTTTTGCATTGCAGAATTATTATAATCTCATAATAAAAATTAGAGTTTATCTAATTTTTTTTAGTGTATCTTAAATTTTAAAATACGCATAGTTATTTTCATATCTTCCAAACTTAAAATCTATTTATTATTTTGTTCATTCAATAAATATAATGAAGCACCTCATTCTAGGCCCTGGAGATGAATGGTGATTAAGACAAATCAGATCCCTGTTCTCATAAACAAGAAAATATTAGATAGGAATGAGTGCTGTGCAGAAAGTTAAGAGGATGATGTGCTCAACGGTGACTTGAGGTATTTAATGCAGATGGTCAGGATAAACTCTTAGGAGGAGACCTCTCAGTTTAGATTGCATGATGAGAAGGAGCCAGCCAATGTGAAGATTGGCGGAGGAGCATTCCAAGCAGAGGGCATAGCTAGTGCAAAGGCCCTAAGGCAGGGATGGGCTGAGTTTTTAAGGAACTGAAAGAAGGCTGATGTGGCTACAGATTAAGCAAATACAGGGAAGATGGCACCAAATGAATGAAACCAGTTGACCAGATCATTTCAGACTTTGTAGGTCAGGGCAAGGAAACTGAGTTTTATTCTAAGCCATGGAAAGATTTCCAGTATGCAGGCACTCATATAATCTTTGTTGAATTAGCATGCCCAAGGC